ACTTGTATGCAGGGAGTTCATTTGCAAGGCCACCTGGCATCCCAGCTCTGCTGTTCTGCTCCCATTTCACTGCGTCTAATGAGCTGGGACCTGGTTCCTGTTGGTTGGTGCTGAGCTCCAGGGCCTTGCACAACCTGTGTGTGGTGGTGATGGCTCATCCCCTCCTCAGGGGTCCCTCTCTCCTGCGGGGAGTTGCCTGAGGCCCTGATGCCCGGGGAGATGTCTTTTTTTGCTGCCAGCCTTGAGTTGTCCAGATGGGAAGGAGTGTGTCAAGCCTCCATTCTCCTGCCCAGAGGCTGCATCAGGCCTGCTCCCTAGCCTCCTGGCTGGACAGGCCTGCTGTGGGCTTCCTGAGGAGCTGCTCACTCCACCTTGGCCTTGGGGCTGTTTCTAAGGAAACCTTGGTGTAGGCAAATACCAAGCCTGGGCTCTCAGAGTTCACGGAGACACGGCCAACAGTGCCAAGGTATGCAGCATCAGGGCTGCCCATGGGCCCTTGGCCGGCCTCCAGGCCCATGCCTTCCCCACGCTGCTAGGCCTCCTAGACTCCACTCTGACCACATCAACCTCTGCCTGAGACTCTTCAGTTGCTCCCTGTTGTGGCTGGATGAAGTCTACATTCCCAAGCCTAGCATTCACAGTCCTTGATGATCTGCTCCCAGTCTGGGCATTGGGGTTGGATGCCTGGGATCAAGTCCAGCTCCTCCCGTTTATTGGGTGACCTCAGGCAAGACATTTAGCGTCTCTGCTCCCCACCTGTGAATGGGGATGATGGTAATGTCTATCTCATATTCATCAATAAGAGTGCCAAGGTTGATGCCTAGCACAGAGTAGGTGCTCAACAAAGGTTAGCTAAAAGCATCACTTGACTGTGTTTTTGCAGCCTCGCCTAAATCCTGCACAACTACACCCACAAGCTGGGGTCAAACTGCAGCCTGGGGGGGGTTCTGCTCACCCGCAAGCTCCACGCACAAGCCTAGATATGTACTCCGCAGCTCTCAGAGCCTTTTCTCACACTGTATCTTCCTGCTGACATGCTTCTCCCTTCCTCTCTGCCTGTTTGAATATGACCCAGGCCTGGCCAAGGCCTCCCGATGATTTGAAGTCATCAGCCAGCCTGGGAGCCCAAAGGAACCCCCAGAATAGCACACAGTGCAGGGCTGGGCACCATGGCAATTGGCATGGACTCCTACTGGAGCAGAGAGGGCCAGGGCCAGGGGCTTTGCAGAGGGTAAGGCATCCCTTCCCTGTCTCCGTCTCTCCCCACCTCTCACCCTCCATCCCATGAAGCTCTTTGCCCTGAAGGGAGTGGTTTTCTGACGCTCGAGGGGTCACAGACCTTTCCTACTAGCCACTGGCTCCTCTGAGCTCCCTCTCTGAGCTGTGCACGCAGATCTCAGCCTCACCTGTCCATGCACGCTCAAGTCCATGGCCAGCCGTGGGCACTTTTCTGTACCCACTTGGGCTGGAGACCCAGGACATGTCCTCTGCGAGCTCACAGATATGCAGGGAGGGGACCAGATCAGGGCTCCTGGGCTGGACTGGCTGTGACTGCTTGAAGCATGGGGAGTCTGGGGACAATGGCAGGGTCATGTGCTGTGCAGTAGGAGGCAGTGGGTATAGTCGGGGGGGCAGTCCAGCTCTGGGCTCCGGTACCGTGTGAGGCCAGCCTGGTGGACAGAGCAGAGGTTCCTTGTGTTGTCGGTGTGAGGAGTCCTGGAGAGTAGGAGCTCTGTCTGAGCCACTCTCACCCCTGCCAGACGCAGGGCCAGCACTGTTAGAGGGTTAGGGAGCTTGGGATAATTTTATGAGCAGGGCTTTGATAAGCAGAGTAGGAGAAGGGCCCCCATCCAGGGGACGGCCTGTGCAATGGTGAGGAGATGAATGTGCACAGGTGTCCAGGGAGCGGCAGGAGGATGGAGCGAGGTCCATGCAGGGATTCAGGGAAGGTGATCCCAGAGAGGCAGCAGAGGAGAGCCAGGGGGGCCATGTTTGGAAGTTTGGATTCTACCTCGTGGGCAGTAGGAGCCGTTTCAGGTTGAAGAGGGTGACACGGTGACTGCACCACACTTAAGAAGCAGAGGGAAAGGGAATTTCCCCAGGGCTGTGACCGGGTCTCATTCACCTTTAGATCCTCAGAGCATGGCCCAAAGCCTTGAGGTTGATGAGACCGAGGCAAGAAAGCCCAAGAGGCCGTGGAGAAGGTGAGGAGTCATCCTGACCCCATAGGGATCAAGAACGTTCCTGAAAATATGCTGCTCCCCAAACCCTCATTCTAGATAGGAAGCGGGGGATGGATGACCCGACAATGGGCTGGCTTGCTGGTCTCCCTCCTTCCCAGAGTGGAAGGCCTGCTGTGAGAGACATCTCTTTCCCGGATTTGCAAGAAGTGAGAGGAAGGCGATGAGTGGGGACTGGAGACTCTTTCCACATGAAGATATGTGTGGACACCTCTCGGGAGCCTGGAGAAATCACCTGGGCAGAGCAGGGAGCAGCACAGGTGGTCTTAGCATCCATGTGCTCAGCAGGGGTTGAGGAGACCCAGGGGAGGGTCTTAGGGATTGCCCTATTTGAGGCTGACCGCACTGGGAGAGGGAACTCGCCATGTGCCTGAGTGGCAGTGCAGCCCAGAGAGGCCACGGTGAAGCCACGAGCAGGGAAGAGCAGACAGGACCTCATCAAGGGCCGCCCCAGATCCATCACTGGACAGAAGAAACCATGGGTGCATTCCTGGTGTGGGCCCCCATAGCAGCATCGGGCCGTGTATGGACTCAGCCTCCCACTGACTGGGGAAGGTGCTGCTGTGTCTGATTCCAGCCCACGGGTAGGACCTGGCTGGTGAACAGAGGCTGCGGGAGATCCTGAGTTTGCTCCCACACATTCCCTGGACTTCAGGAAGGCAGATTCCAAACAAATGTGAGAGATGGTGGGCGTAATTCTTGGCCTGAAGCTCTGGAAGAAGAGAAGCCTCCAGAGCCAGGGGCTCTGAAAGGGACAGTTCTTACCCAGCAGTCACTGGGGTCCCTGTGGGGAGGGGAAGGGGCTGGAGCTGAGGGGTGCACATGGCTGCACATGCAGAGGGCTGCATGCCTAGGCTCAGAATTGAGGGGCACAGAGCTGAGCACAGGAAATAGAAGGGCCAGCACTCAGGACCAGGGCTGCCAAGTGCCCACCTTGATGCTGGGCAAGTGGGAGTAGGGAGAGGCTCCACTGTCGCCTTGGAGGAGTTTCAGAGTGTTTCTCTCTGACAAAAAGAATAGCATCTGGACAGGGACCTTGAATTTAAATACTTGCGGGGACCAAGGGGGTTAAATAGGTGAGAGAGGCCTGTGGCAAACCAAGAGGGCAGCTTCTCAGCTCCAGCTAATTCCTGCAGTGTGAGAATGTGAACTCGCCACCAGATGGTGTAAGTTAGGATTCAATTTGGCCACATGTGACAGAAAACCCAAAATAATAGTGGCTTAAAGACATTGGAGTTTTCTCTCTTCCCTATGTGTACCAGAAGTGAGCCAGCCAGAACTGACACATGGCATCTAGGGGTTCTTCCCTCTCACTGCCAGAGTGTGGCCCTCATCCTCATGGTCCAAATGGAAACTAGAGCTCTGGCCATCACACCTGTGTTCCAAGTAGCAGGATGGAGGAAGGTGGGCAGAAGGGCAAAGAGCAAATGTTATTTATCTTTAAGAAGGTTTCCTGGAAGCTTTCATATAGTGTTTCTAGATCTTGTTGGTGGAATTTAGACACATGACTACCCCCAGCTGTAAGGGAGGCTGGGAAAGGTAGCTGTAGTTCCGGTTGTCCCTGTGCCAAGCTAAAAACCAGACCTTCTGCGACTAAATGGAGAATGAATATTGTGATATGCAGCTAGCGGTCTCTGCCACATAATGCCCCTTTGCCTCCAAATATGCACCCCATCTTCCCATGCGGAGAATGCTCTGGGCTTTGGTGGAGGGGATTACCCTGCAACCTTGCACTTCGTCCCTGCACAGCATCCAGCCCAGAAGTCTGGATCTCTGGGCAATGCACAGCCCTCACCGTTAGGTCCTGATGCCCACACCGTGTCTGGAACCGTGGAGAAAGAACACAATCACCACAATAAACTCCTGATTGGGAGAAGGGAAACACAGCAGCACCAGCCGTGGCCACGGTCAGGTCCCACTGGGCAGGCTTTGTGAGCCAACCTGTGCTCGGGGGAGGAAGCTGCCTCAGTGGCTTTCAGCCGCCTGCCATCTGGCCAGCCCAGCTCTATTCCAGGAGGAACCCCATGCCCAATGTCCCCTACGGAGAAGTCAAACTCCCTTAGCGGCATGTCGCCGGCACAATTCAGTGGCTTTTAGCCTCTTTGTCCTGATGAGGTCCACATGCCTGAAACGGCCCCAGTGGCTCATCTAGATGCAGTTTCAGGGTGGTCTGGCCCTTCTGTCTGCCCTCTGCATTGAAATAACTGCTGGGGTGGCGGGAGGCAGGGAGAGCAACACTCTTACTCCCTGACTCAGATTTTCGTGAGAAATTGACTAATTTTAAAATTTCTGCAACTAATGCTTGAATATTGTAGTTCAGGACAAGTAAACATGCCTGTGTGCCAGACATGGCTCTCAGGTGCCAGAGTGGGAGATGCTGTTGGATGGGGATTTGGAGCTCCTCCCCTGGCATAGGCTGGCCTGAGGGTCACGTCCATGGAGAAGGCCCCACATAAGCCTCCTTCATCCTGGCAGGCAGGACCAGTGACCACACATCTGGTGGCAGAACTGGCCACAGCTGGAGAGTGGGACTCTTGCAGGGACCCTGAGGGTGAGCTGGTCCCCGGGATTAGCACAGAAGCTCGGGCCAGCCTGGCTGACTTCACAGCCCACCCACTGGGGTGAGGGGCAGGGTCAGGACTGGCTCAGGATCCAGGTGTCCTATGTGTGTGAGCCTACCTGCCGTGTGTGGGGCTCTGCGGAGGGGACTCCAGGCCTGGGGCCGGGCAGGTGCCAAGGCCTTGCTTGCCTGCCCTGCAGACTCCACCAACCGGGACTCACTGGACATGATCGAGCGCAGCATCTGCCTGGTGTGCCTGGACGCCCCGGGAGGCGTGGAGCTCAGTGACACCAACAGGGCTCTCCAGCTCCTCCACGGCGGAGGCTGCAGCAAGAACGGGTCAAACCGCTGGTATGACAAGTCTCTGCAGGTAAGTGTCCGTCGTGGCATGGCCAGTGGCCTGAGCTTGCGTGTGCTCACGTCCAGCAGGCTCGCTCACTGGCACTGGCCTCTGCTGCCTTAGATGCTGCATCTGGGGCCGAGGGAGCTGAAGGGCTGGAGATGAGCCATTGGTGTCAGCCCCTGACCTGGCCAGAACTCTTCTCAGAAGCAAGTGGCCAAACCCGACTCAAACTCCCTAAACTTTCTGTAGCCTGTGCCAGGCCTGTGGGGCCTCTGGGTCACATCTGGGGCTCACTCACCATCTCCCATCACACACTGTAAGGTGGGCGCATGCTGGGGGCTCCCACCAAACAAGTCCTCCACACATTCAGCAAGAATCATGTCTGATGCCCAGAGATGTCAGCTTTTCTGAATTTCCATCACCCTGGCCTGGCCATTTTGACTCACCTCCCTCCATCCCTGAGAAGTAGGACAGCCCAGCATTGCCACAGAAGAAAAGTCATAAAATGAAATAAAGCAATCTATATATTTTTCATTCACATGACATTAGCCCAGAAACAAGACATTCACTTTGGCTGGGAGAAAAACACTCACGCAGATGGGGATGAAGTCGAAGTTGAGCCGTTCATCCCTGGCCCTCCATCCTTTTTTCCCCAGCATACCAATCCTGGATCTAATCTTGTTTGTTTTTAAGGCCACCACAGTTTCACAATGTCCATGTTAAATAGCAGCCAATGATCTCTGTGCTTTGGGTTAGCATTGCTCACACTAATAAGCATTTCTAGGCAGCATCGCATTTTTTTCTTCTCTGTCCCCTACATTCTACAGGTTATCCCTTTTATTGGTTTGCATATTGATTCTGCTATTTCTGATGAGTTCTCTTGCTGCCGCGCTGGCTGTTTCAGCCTCCACCAGTGGTGCTAATGGCTTGTAATCTTTCATGGAGCAGCTGGGGGAATAATGATATAATGGTTGTACAGGACCTGAATCATACTAAGCATTGGTAGCAGTTTTTAAAAGGTGCCGTTTTCCTCTCTTTTCTTGTAGTGACAGGGACAGAAAAGCACTAATGCGTGGGTGGCACAGCCCTACCTTCCGCCTCACGTGGGTGACCATGTGCACTTATAGGCTCTTTTTAAAACAGGCAGGACAGGTGGTCAGGTGAGCTGGAGAAGCCAAATAGCCTCCATGGAGCTGACCTGAAAGGACGGAGAGCTCGTCTCGGGAGGGAAATGCAGGGGACACCAGGGGAGGGAGGAAAGAGCCTGCAAGGGATGAATTTTGAGGGAAACTCTGTGGGAAGTTTGTTTGAGAATGGGAGTAAAATTCGGACAGCTGACACATTATGTGAGAGATCAGGGAGGCACGGAGTCAGCTCAGGTGTGTGCTGTGTGCTATGGTGCTCGGAAGGGGTTTCATAAAGATTTTGGTAGCGTGTTTGTTTGTTTGTTTGTTTGTGGATGGTGGACTAGTATCTCCTGAGTGTGATGCTGTGCCGAGATGGGCTACAAGGTGGCCCCACTTTATCTGGGTTATGCTTTAAGAACCACATTTCATTCTTCTCATTATTTGCTGCCAGTACTTTGGTACATACTGAGCATATCCCTTTCCCGAGTCAGCTGAACACAGCCTTTGTGAATTCATAAAAAAATCGTTAAGTCATCCTTACAGTCGCTGTGGACTTTTCGTATACCTTCTCTCCAATGCTCACACCCATCCTGTGAGCTGGGCCTTATTGGATCCATGTTAAATGAGAGCAAACTGAAGCCAGAGAGTTGAAGTGTCTTGTCAAAGCTCTCCCAGCTGGCAAGAGACAACAGCAGAACTGGAATCCGGGTCCCTGACTCGAAGCCCGGGCAGCAGTTAATGGGGCATCCTTCACTCCCATCAAGGGATATTTTAATTCTCCCTAGGAATCTGCACACCATCCAAATTGAACCGTTATCTTTTTTTTTCTTTTGTCATCCCATTTTTTTTTTTGTTTTTTTGTCTTTTTTGGCGAGGAAGATTAGCCCTGAGCTAGAAGATGATCCCTGAGCTAACATCTGTGCCAATCTTCCTCCACTTTGTATGTGGGATGCCACCACAGCATGGCTTGAAGAGCAGTGTATGGGTCTACGCCCGGGATCCGAACCTACAAACCCTGGGCTGCCAAAGCAGAGTGTGTGAACTTAACCACTACGCCACCGGGCCAGCCCACAAACCGTTATTTTTATTCACTTGTTCAACAAACTTATTGAACACCTTTATGGGGTGGACACTGGTCTAGATCCTGGGAATAAAATCAGTGGTGGCTAAACACACAGCATCCATCAGACACGTAATCACACAACGCAGTACAGGATGGTGGCCCTGCTGCCCTGTGAAGGGCTAACAGAAGCTGAAGGAGCTTCCCCACGGCCTGGGGAGAGTGTGCATAGCCTCAGCGTGAGCTGTCAGGAGTCACTGGGCTGCTTCAGCAGCAGGAACTCTGGGCTCCACCTTCACTGCCCAGAGCATTCTGGGAAGGAGGTCACCCAGTTTAGAGCTGTCTTGAGGCCCCCATATTCTCAGGCCATGCCAATTGTGTGCAATATTCTTTTCAGGAGATAATGGCTTTGGTGTCCTTGGAGGAGAAGTCCCTCTGAGAGTCTGGGGGCACCTGGCCTGGAGCCAAGAGGCTGGGTTGAGACGCTGACTCTATGAGAGGTCCACTCACCTCTCTCTTCCCTGTTGCAGTTTGTGGTGGGCCGAGACGGCACCTGCGGTGTGGTGTGTGAACACTCCCCATTCGACGGCATCGTCCTGGTGCAATGCACGGAGCACCTACTCAAGCACATGTGAGTCTGGGGGCAGTGTCCCTCCAGAGCAGCCATGGGAGGCAAAGCCAGACTGCTGAGTGGCCACCTAGCCAGGCCAAAAAAAATGTGGGTGGCCACCGGGGGGCTGCATTAGTCTGGGAGGTGTCATAGCAAAAGATGAGTTTGAAAACCAGCTTGAATGAGACATCATACACTTTGTTGGCCATGGATAGAAGGGGCAGCCTGGACAACACGTTTAGGGCAGTTGGCAAAGAATTCTCAGCTAAAAAGGAATATCTACTTTGGTCCAGGGAAGCCCAGATCAATACCTATTGCTTATCCCAAGTCAGGGCTGGGCTGACTATTGAGCTGGCACAGAGGAAGGTCTCTGAGCTGCACCTCTTTCCATCCCTCGGGCTGGGTCTCTCTCCCTAGCTTCCAAGCTGGCCAGACTGAGTGCTTCTCTGTCCCTTAAACACACCAGGTTCCTTCCTCCGTTCACGATTTTGTCATTCTCTCCTTCTAGAATCTTCTCCCTGAATCTAAGTTCTAAATCTCTTCCACGATTTAGGAACTTTTTAGAATCACTGAAAACCCAAACCAGCCCTCATAGACAGAAAACACAATTTGCTTCTTCAATTTCTCTCCAACTGTTTTATAAGTGTTAGTGGTGTAACATGGTCGAAAGGGAAAACATGAAAGGAAATATTGGGCTTTGGAGTCAGGCAGAACTGGATGGAATCCTGGCTCTGCCACTTACTGATTTGGGTGGCCTCTCTGAGCCTTAGTCTCTTCATCTGTGCAATGGTTTGTGGGGGGCAGCTCATACCCACTGAAACTGCAACAGCTAAGATGACTGCAGGGGGCAAAGAAACATGCAGGGCCCCAGGAGGTTGCCTCTTTGTGCCCGCAGGATGCAGAGCAGCAAGAAGCTGGTACGAGCCGACTCCATCAGCGAGCTCCCCGCCCCCAGGAGGCTAAGGTGGAAATGCTCCCCAGAAATTCAGGGCCTCTTAGCCTCCTCGGCAGAAAAACTTCAACGGTAAGGAGAAGCCCAAGTCTCCTTTGGGGTGCTGCTCTGGGGCCACCACGTGCCCACCCTACACCCTCCGTCCCAGCTCATGAGGCACGCTGGAAGCTTCCAAAGACCTCAGCTCCTCTGCCTCCCCTCACCCACCTCCACCCCCATCCTCTCATGGAAATGTAGTCAAACTAAAGGGGAGTTACAACTCCCAGGATATAACCTTGCTGAAGTGTCCATCATTTCCATAAAATGCAAACGTGCAGCTATTTTTTTTCACAGATTCACCTGACTGAGCAGAGTCAAGGCGGGGAAACCAGCCCCTGCTTTCAGAGAGTAATAAACAGCTAGTTTGAATAGGTCATTTGAATCCAAGCTATTTCCATTTGCCTGAATTTACACTGCAACTTTCCTCAAGGGGCGGGGGCAGTTCAGGCCCTAACGGGACCAGACCGGAGGGCCAGAGATGGGTGTGGGCCCCTTGGGTGGGCCAGCCTTGGCACAGTGGCGAAGTGTGGTGGGAACCATGGGCTGGCAACTAGATCTGGACCTTGGTTGTTCACTCCCTCATTCAGTAAGTGAGCATGAGTGCATTCATTCATTCACTCATTCATCAACCATGTGCAGAGCTCTAGTGTGTGCCAGGCCTGTGGCAAGGCTCTGAGGACACAGAAATGAATGTGCCATGGGCCTGCCCACCACACGTTAGTGGAGGAAGTGGACCCCCAGACCAAAACAAGTGTAATGCAATAAGTGCCAAGACAAGAGAGAGAAATCCAGACCCAAACCTGCAGAGGACACAGGAGCTACATTCTGCCAGGACATTGAGGGAAGGCTTTGCAAAGAGAGGCCTTGAAGGATGGATAGGAGTTTGTGGGGCAGGCAGCTGGGGAAGAGACAGACAGACAGCTTGTTCAAGCTTGTACAGGTTCATAAAAGATCCAGGCTGGTTTGGAGACCAGCAAGTGAGAAAATGGCCAGAACTGGGGCCCTGAAGGGAAGGTGGGCCACACGTGAAGAGCTTCACTGTCCTTATGTTACGGGGCTTGGAAGCTGTCCTACGGCGGTGACGATCCCCTGGAGGCTTTGTGCAGGGGGTTTCGGGGAGCCCATGAGGAGACGGTGAGAACAGCACAGGTGAGCAGGACAGTGTGGCCAGGCTCGGGGGGTGGGGAGCACAGTCCACTGAGAGCGACTGTGGAGGGCAACTGGCTTTAGCAGGGGAGTGGGAGAGGCCGAGGGTGTTGTCTATAAAATGGTGCTGATAGCTCAACCTTACGGGGCTGTTCTTAGGATAAGCAGGCCACTAGAAGAGTGAGTGGGTGGGCTGGTGATCTCTGGGTGGAGGAAGGCACCCACTCATCTTCAGAGATTCAAACAGGCCGCACGTGACCCTGAGGTGCTCCTTCAGGAGGGAGAGAGCCAGGAGAGGCTGTTGGTGGGGAAGCACCAGGAGCCTCAGAGGTCCTGAGCTGCCTGTGGAAGGGGGTAGGGTCTGAGTGGGTAGTGCTTGGGCAAGAGGTCTCCAGGTGGCTGTGGTGACCATGAGCTCAGCCTGTCTGGGGACAGTGGTCAACAGGCTGGACTGAGGGGTGAGTCCCCCTGGTCCCCAGAACCTGACACAGTGCCCCTGAGAGCTGAGCTCACATGAGGCAGGGGGAACAATTCAAGGAGGGGCAAGCAGGGAGCGTCTGCGTCCTGAGGGAGTGTATGAGTGGGGGACCAGGTTGGCCACCCAGGGCTCTGCAGCCACACACAGCTGGTGGACAGATGGTGTGGACCTGGCTGGACATTGCTCCAGCGGGTATCAGCCCAGACCCCAAATTCTTCATGAAGGAGAAGACTGGTCAATATCGGTGGGGAGAGACCAGTGCTCAAGTGTCTCAGTGTAGACTCAGGGAGTCTTCCTGTTGCTCTGACAATGATTCGTGGGCAGCAAGGCCTGGGCATGTCACGGGAGGCTCAGCAGTAGTTTCTGAGTAAAGTGGGTTTTCGGTCACCCTTGCTGTGCTGACGGTGACCAGCCACCAGGCTTCAGGCCTTTCTTCCTGAGGCACAACAGGGAGGAGTCTCAGTGAGGAGATGCGGCTTGCAGCCATCTGAGAAATGGGCTTTTCCCCGGACAAAGGACAAAGGGAGTTTGTTGGGTCTGGCAGGTTGGCCAGGATGCCAAAAGAATCCATAGGGATGCTGGACACACCTTCCCAAACAGGTCAGATAAATGGCCTCTTTCAGGCCTACTTTTGTGGGCAGCAGCTTCTCGGACTTTGTTTGTGGGCAGTGCTCTCCCTGTCCTTGCAAATGTCTCTCGTGCCCCTCCCTGCAGCCAGGCTCACCTCCCCGACCCCAGAGCAGGGCCACCACCCTGCCTGGCCAAGCCTCACCTTCAGCTCAGAGTAACCGTGGTGCTGCGTGCCCTCTGCCACTTCTGTATGTCAAGGCCTGTCTCTGACACCCCGATACATTCATTGCGGCAGGGACGATGGAAACTTCCAGAGCACTAGGATGTAGACCAGGCTCAAGAAACTTGGTCAGACTCTGTGGTGCGTGCATTCTATTTTGCATGCAATGACAGCATCTTTTCCTTTTCTTCCACAGAATAGTAAAGAATCTTGACTTCACTGTTTATAAGTTTGACAACTATGGGAAAACATTCATTAAGAAGCAGAAATGCAGCCCCGATGCTTTCATTCAGGTTGCCCTCCAGCTGGCCTTCTACAGGTGAGCAAAGCCTGCCGGTGGAATGACTCTGTGCCAGGTGGGCTGACTGACAGCTGCTCTGGACTCTAAATCTAGAAACATCCTGGAGGGAGGGATGTCTTTCTGTGGGCCTAGAGGACAGGACAGGAGGATGACCAGGGAAGGCTGCATGGAAGGAGATGCCGCCTGAACTGGGTTTCAAAGCATGAACCCAACCTCAGAAAAGAGAAGGAAAGATGGGGCAGTCAGGAAACTGTCTGAGCAATGGCCCAGGGACACAGAGCTCACAAGGCCCAGACAGGCAATGGGGAGGCTGCCCTCCTCCTGATCTCACCCAGGCCACCTGGGCCCCTATAGCTGTGACCTGTCCTCCCCAGTTTTCCTGGCCTTGAGAAAAAAATGGAACCAGCATCCCCCCAGGGGGTCAAGTCAAAGATTTTGGACTCATCCTTGATTCATCCCTGTCTCTCATCCCCCACATCCCATGTCAGTTCTCCAAATGTCTCTCAAACCCATCCTCTGTTCTCCACCATCGGCCCCTCCCAAGCCCCTGTCATCTCGTGCTTGCTCAACTGCAGCATGCTCCCCTGGGGTCTCTGCCTCCACTCTTACCACAATAATCCCGTCTTCATGAAGTGTGAACTTTGAAATATGCAAATCAGATTCTATCGCTTACCACCTCGAACCCTCGCAATGGTTCCCACCACGCTTAGAACAAAGTCCAGGCTAAGAAAGGCTCCCTGTGAACTGGCCTCACCTGGGGCCCTCCCGCCAGGCTCTCTCACCGTCCAGACCTTTGCTCTGGCTATGCCTCTGCCCACCCACCTGTCACCACCATTCTTCACAGGCCAGCTCCTCCCACGGCTCAGATGTCAGCCCTCAGAGGCCTTTCCTGACCCCCTTATCTAAAGCAGCCTCCGCCCCCTGCCCCTCAGTTCTCCATCATACCGCACGGCATTCTCTTTTTCTTTCATGGCGGTGGCTGTCCATGTGAACTACCTTGTCTGTTGATTTGTTGACTTTGTTTTCTAGACTGTCTCCCCTAAGCGTGCCACTCTGGGCATCTGGCACGCCTGGCACAGAGTAGGCATCAGGCACTGAGTCACAGACATGAGAAGATACTGCAGGAGTTTTAGCAGGAGGTGGCATGGTTATATCTGTGGTTTAGAAAAATCTGCATAGTGGTAGTTGTGTTGGGGGAGGGGTGAAGAGTAGGGAGTAAGGGTTGAAGACAGGGTTGGAAGACTGACTGGCCTTTTATAGGAGGCTAAAACTAAAATGCAAAGTAGATCTTCCTCAAGACAGCCTGGCTCCTGTTGGTTCCCGAGCTCCAGAAGCACGAGCCCATAAACCGGCGCGGGCAGTTAACAGCACTGCCCCACCAGCACTGCTTTCAGTTGACAACATCCGAGGGGGCACTGCAATAAAGCTGGGGCCAGGAGGTCTTCCTAACGAGCAGGCAGCACCCGTGTGGACACGGCATCCCAGATCCCAGTGTCCCCCAGGGGCCATAACTCACAGGGAAGGGAGCGAAGCCACTCTGAGCGTCCATCCTGTCAGGACTCCTTGGGGAAGGCTGATCTCATCGCACATGAGGTCTGTGCTCATCGCAAGGTCACAGAGACCTCACCGGCATTGAGCTGTGGCAGGACCTGGAGTCTGGAACCGCAGTCAGTGCCATTCTGACACTCAGATGGCATGTGGCTGAAATGGGCCAGGAGGTGAGGGTCCTGCTGGAGCCACAACTGGGGGCACTGTTCGGTGAGCACTTCAGACTCAAAGCCCAGAGGGGCCAGTGGACCCTGCACAGAGCACCCCACCACCCTCCAGTGATCTTTGCTGTCACTGGACATGGCGAGGAATGGACACGGTCAGAGTCTCCTGGGCTCACTGAGTAGCCAGAGTATGATCTGCTTCCCATGAAGAACATTCTTCAGAGTCTAAGCTGTAACAGATTTTTTAAAAGGCCTACTCCTAGATTCAGCAGAAACCTAGAAGCTGCCTAAGTTGGGGTTGATCAGTGACCAGCCAGTAATGGCATCTACTTTTGTGCTCGGCGTGGTGTTTGCCTCCAGGAGCCATAGAGATACAGGAAACGAGCTCCCTGCCAGAGACTTGGGGAAATGAGACATAAGTGTACAGGAAGTTTATTCACTTGCTCGCCAGGCAACTTGCACAGCTCCAAGCACTGTGCTAAATCAGACTTGCCCTTCCTCCTCCTGGAGCTTACCCAGTGAGGGAGAGGCATGCCCTGAAAAGGCCAAGACGCCTTTGTGACTTTGGGCTGTCACTGCCCCTCTCTGAGCTCCGTGTCTGAGCTCCCTTCCCCACCCCCAACACCAAGGACTTTACTGACTGGTGAGAAATGTGTGTGCCAGCTAGATGTGCAAACCTAGGGATGCTCACTCAGTTCACAAGGCTAAGGAAGAGACTTTCCCTGTCTGGCAAGGGAGCAGCCACTGCTGCTCTGGTCACAGACATCAGGGAGGAGAGGCACAGCCATGGCACCCACGGGTCTGCTGGAAGTCCAGCTGCCTCTGGACAGGGGGGCCTGTGCAGCAGTTTACACCCATGACCACAAAGGTCCCCTCCCTGCTTCTGTCCGTAAGTCATGCTTGAATTGTTTTAAATAAAACAGGATTCCCTCAAGGGTTTGAATGATTAATTATGCAATTATTCCATTCTGTGCTATTAATCAAACACACATCAGGTTTTGCAGAAAATTCTAGATTTCCCACCAGGTTGGGATTTTTTTTAAAAAGCTACCAGTCACTTCTTCTTTATTTTATACCCACGCAGAATCACCAATCACCAAAGTGTACATAACTCTTCATATTAGAGACCCCCCAACATTCATCTCTGGGAAATCTCCTCCAGAATTCTATTAACATTAAAATGAAATACTGCGCCGAGTCAAGTCAGAACTGTAACAATAAAGCCCGCTGAGGCTGTTTTTCTTTCAGCCTTTATGATTCCCTGAGAACGCATCACGTTTGCCATTCGTCCTCCATCTTACGCAGGCTCCACGGGAGACTCGTGCCCACATACGAGAGTGCGTCCATTCGCCGATTCCAGGAGGGCCGGGTGGACAACATTCGGTCGGCGACTCCAGAGGCACTGAGCTTTGTGAAAGCCATCACTGACCACGAGGCTGCGGTGCTGGTAAGTCCTGCTCCATCTGAGGCCCCTCAGCTGTGAGCTGCCTGTCTGGTCAGCTCCCTGACGACCAGCTCCTTTGGCTTCTTCGTCAATGAGCAGCCCCTCAACGCCCCATGTACTGCGTCTCTGGTCTGTTCTCAGGATTCGGAGAAGCTGCTGCTCCTGAAGGATGCCATCCGAGCCCAGACCGAGTACACCGTCATGGTGAGTGATGTGCTGGCCTCTGGCTGGAGCTCATGACTGCGGGCTGTGCCCAGAGCTGCGCCTGCAAGAGTGGAGCCCCGGTACAGGCCCGGGTGAGAGTTGGGCCACCACCTGCCCCGCGACTTGCAAGGCCACCCCACCTTCCAGAGCCTCCTTTTTCTTAGTTTTAGAACCCAGGTAACACACCACTCCTGGTTTTTACACGAACTTTACAAGAATACAGTGAATGGCCTTTGAAAAAACAATACTGATAATTACAGCACCCAATATGTACAGCACTTTACAGTTTATACAACTAGAGCAGTTAAAGGTGACGGGATGGTGCCCAGCCTGGCAAACTGTGGTAGCTTGCACACTTTGCACAATCGCAAGTGAGGCAGTATTGATTCTCACCCAGGGCTAATTTTGCGTTATTATTCTCTGTGTATTTATTTATATTGCCTGTGAATAAAAAGTCTCTATTGAAAATTAATAGTGAAATCAAAATTGTAAGGGAAATGTTTCCCTAGTTTAGGGAAATAATTTATTTTCTAGCACTGCGAAGCCACCATTTGCATACAAACGACAGAGAATAAGCTAGTACTTGGGCTGGTGATCAATATATTAATTGCAAATCATTCTAATACAGTCTTTGAAGGATCGTACAACCTATGAAAAGGAGTTGACGGAATTTCATTGCGAATGCTTGAAAGCAAGTATAACACATCTCTGGGTTTTAGAACCAGTCAATGTAGACTTTTCTCTAATTCAGTGGCTAGGTCCCTAATTCATTTGAAGTGTTTGTTCTCTTTGGGGAAAATCAAGCTTGCTCTCATGTATTCAATGGGTATTTTTTGTTTTCCTGCTTTATGCCAGGCAAGGTGCTGGGTGCTAGGAAATAAAAAATGCAGCCCATAAGCCCTGTCCTTAGAGAGTTTACCCTGTTGGTGGGAGGAGAGGCCCTTAAATGTAAATCCCATCCTATGTGAAAAGAGCTCTCGGGAAGTAGTAGACAGCATGGAGGAGCAAGCTCACTCCTCTGCTTGGGAAAGCCAGGAAGACTTCCCAGAAGAAGTGGTGCTTGATATGAGACTTGAAGGATGAGGAGGTGCTTGTCAGGTGGACATAGAAGGGAAAGATGGCCTCTGAAGGGAAGAGCATGTGCAAAGGCAAAGAGTCTTGAGAGAATAAGACACATTGGAGGAAATGCAAGCAGTTCAGTGTGTGCAGCTTGCAAAGGACAGAGGAGCAGGAGAGCTTATGATTGGATTTGTGTCACAAAGCTTACTCTGGTCACCAGGCAGAAGGACTGGTTGGAGCAGGGAGTGGTCTGCCAAGAGACAGCAACGCTAATGAGGAATGTATATAATATTTAGGGAGAGCTCAGATAAGAATAAAGACATTTTCAGACAGACAAGCTCTCAAAATTTTTATTCTCAAAATTTCTTATTGAGCTGTCTTTCTTATAAATCTATTGGAGGATGTAGACCACTAAAGTAAGAGAATAAAACATAAAAAAGGAAGTCATAGGCTCCAAAAATCAGAAGATTCAACGCAAGAAAGAGGATGATAGTAGAGGGACATCCCACATTGACAGCTGTTCATCAGACCTTGGAAGAACCAGTCCACAGAGGAGCCGGAAGGGAGAGGAGGAGTGAAACTGATCAATTATCTGACACATTTTAATATTAGGGGAGGCTTACACTTCTGGCTCAGGTTTAGAAATCAACTATTTATAGAGGCATAGAATGCTAAGCAAATAGAAAAATCACAATTTAACCTTTTAAAAATTGTCAGTTCTAGAGAAAAAAAATTGAGTGAGAAAGGGAAATCTATCATAAGACACTACAGAACACAGCTGTGAATACCTGAATAATTGTAATTATGTAAACACTGAATGCTGATCAAACAACAAACAGTTAAAATGTAGCTCTTGGGGAACAGGGGTTTAAAAGAGCCAACCTCTCATCTATAAGAAAAAGATGTAGGTAAAACTGAAAAAGGCAGTGATGGCCATCTACGCATGGTAGTTAGAACTAAGAAAACAGCTAAAAGGATTCCACAGGGTTGCCTCTGCAGAGTGGGAATCAGTGTGGGCAAAGTGACATAAACTTTTGGCTTATTTGGGTTTTTTAACTATACAAATTTATAACTTTGATAATTTAAATTTTTATGAAAAACATCCTCTAAAGCATTGCCATAGGGTTCTCTTGTGTTAACTATTTTAAGTTGATGAGAACAACTGTATAAAAGCAATAGGGGATGGGAGAGGAGAGCTATAAGGATGCTTTATAGGTAAATCTGGTGCCTGGGTGGCCGGGGAGGGTAAGGGACAGGGGCAAGAAGCAAGCAAACCTCCAGATATCTGGCAAGTCTATCTGGTCGTGGTAGTGGAGACAGGAAATTCCAGCGAAGGATCAAATGTGGTCCCGATTCCCTATCAGGTACTCTCACAGCACCATGGGCTTTTCCTTCACAACACTGACCTCGGTTTATGATCCCAGGTTTATTTGCATGGCTGGTTAATATCTGCCTCCCACCCCACATGAGGCTCCATGAGGGCTGCGTCTAGGACTGCTTTGTTCTCTGTTGTCGCTCCAGCACTTAGCATCCGGCACATAGTAGGCACTCGATGGAGAGTCCCTGAATGAATGAAAGACTGAATGACAAGTCACTTTACTCATTACTACTCATGGCTGTCATCCAAACAATCTGGTAAATCCACCCCCGTTGCTACAGTGAGTTCAGAGATGGTGAAAACAGGAGTGGGTTGGCTGCTGCACAGAGCAGCTGCTTCTATAGATCTACACGAGCCAGTGATCAAACACAGGGAACCAGAGAAGTTTCAGGTGCACTCTGCTTCATAGACAGACTCAGAGTTCTTCCCCTCTGTCCTAATGGGGCGCATCTAAAGTGAGCTGTGGTTGTACAACATGACTTCTCAGCCTATAATTAGGTGCATTTTGAGAGACTGGGGCCTCTGAATCATCTTTATGCATTCATTCTCAGCTGAAAGAGAACAGCTGTCAGATCCTAAAACGTGCCCTGTAAACAAAGTTCACTGTGATGGGATGTGTCCTCCTATGTGGGGTTTTAACAGCTAAGTGACCATCTTACATAACTGTGAAACCCCTGCCTCTTACCAAGAGTTACTCATAATTACCCTGATGTTGATCAAGAGGTTATTACTACAAGCCAGAGGTGGCCCCTCCCTGTCTCCATCAGCCCCCAAAATTGCCCCCAAATAAACATGTGATCCAAGCAGAACCAGTGTGCATGCCACACATGCAGCCTCAAGCAGGAAAGACGTTGAATGAGCGTCCCGGCCCCATTGCCCCACTCTGGCCACACCACCACCCCGGAGCTCCTCCTACACAGAAATTCTGGACTCCCCACTGCTATTATCTTATCCTTTGATAAGAGTTCAAATATCTCACGATAAAAAGAAAAAAATCCTTTCTTCATTCCACAAGGTTTCTCCTTGAAAACGTCGACTGAGCCTCTGCTAGGATGTCTAATTCTTGTCTCAAAATAATTTCTAAGATTACGAATCCAGTTTCCTTGATTCTGGGCCCATGAAATAGCAGCCAAGCTTCAGGAACAGATCTTACCATCCTCTATCCCTCATTCTTTGGGTTCCCACTGGAGGATTAAGTGTTGGTTGTGGTGAGAGTCTGCCCAGTGACAGCCCAGGCACCCCTCCCCATGCTTGGATGGGACCCAGGAGTCCCTGGCCCAATACCTGTCGTTCTCCCCAGTCTCCTCCGCTACCTGAGAAGGCCGGGCCGGCCCTGCTCTTTCCACATAGAGCACTAAGTAATTACACAGGATGATGTCAGCAGTGACCACGCTGGGAAGAGGGGACTCAGACTCACCGACCTTGAACTCAGGCATCCTCACTTTAGAACTCAACCTCCTCTGGACCCCTCCTGTGCATGCAGAAATGCTCAAGGGCCCAAGGAGCAGAGGCCACATAGTAAAGCGGTCGGTCCTGGGTGGCCACCCACACACATTGCCTACAGCAAGCACTGGTAAATGTGAGCCTTGGCCAGTGTAGTCACCATTAGCATTGTGGACTAGAGACGAGGAGAGGAGGTGTGTGGAAGCCCGCATCTCGTTTCCTGTTGTTTGTCCTGACTACCTAGGCCATAACAGGAATGGCCATCGACAACCACCTGCTGGGGCTGCGGGAGCTGGCCCGGGACCTGTGTAAGGAGCTGCCCGAGATGTTCACTGACGAAACCTACCTGATGAGCAACCGGTTTGTCCTCTCCACCAGCCAGGTACAGTCCTAGGGTGGCCATCACCCAACAGGCCACTTAGTGTAGCCAGAGGACTTTCTAAAGAGCTCAGCGACTACAGGGTGGAGTCAGCCAAGTCCCAGCTCTGTTTCTTACGAGCTGCAAGACTTTTGGCAAAATGCCCTAAATGCAAAGAGCGCTGGTTTCCTCATTTTCTAAACGGGAGTAATCACGGACGCCACCTTACAGAGGCGGACAGGACGGGAAAAAAGCACCCATTCTGGTGCCCTAACCATTATGCTCACTACCTGTCAATCTGTTAACTGAGAGGTGGTGTTCCACCGGGGTGACCACAGGCTCTGAAGCCCAACAGGCGTAGAGAGAAGTCCTGGCTCAACTAGATGCGATGATGTAGGTCGAAAGCCCAGCCCAGTGCCTGGCATGGACAGGGCCCTCCAAACAGGTCACAGCCATTATTGTAAAGGGCCATGGGACCAACAGCAGGCCATTAGCTGCCGGCCCAGCGTCTCCTAACCAGAGCTGCAGGCTCGCTCGGTTGGAGGACAACTGTCACAAAGAGAGAACGAAATCCATTAGAGAAAGGCAGCAGTTTGAGAGAGAAAATCCCCCCCGCCAAACATCAATTTACTAAAACCCCACCTCATCTGCGAAAGGCTGGACGTGGGCAATGAAAGGGGCTGATAAAGTTGTGTTTGAGGATAAAAGCCCACTCAGTAATTTGATTTTGTCATTAGGGCAGTGAGCTTGCAGACACGAATAAACGAGGGCAGAACATAACAACATAAATTCTTCAGGAAACCACCCATGGGCAAAAAGTGCTTTGGAATGGCTTTATGGCCTTCAGCTGTTGCACGGCAAATTTATCTGACAATGAGGTGACTCTATTAACAAGACTAATGGTTTGTTCTGCCCCATTAAAACGGCCAGTGTCATTTCTGAAGGCCCGAGTACACAGCGCCAGAAACCTGTGGTTTAAAACAAACCCCACCCTGCACCTGCCCAAGAATGTGTTCTATTTTCCCCCTGAGCCCAGCTAATAAAATTAATTCGGGGTGTGGTGGTTTGGGTTTTTTTTTTTTTTCCAACTGGAAATGAACATTTATGGCTTCAATGCCTTCAGAAACACATTTCTTGGTTTGTGATCCAGATTACAAAATTTTAGCCCTCTGAATTCAAAACATATTAGGTGCATAACAAAAAATCCAGTTGATGGCAGTCTATGAAATGCCCAATGCTGGGTAATTGTGCATGGCCAGGCTGTGGGGAGCAAATCAGACCAGCCAGGCAATACTGACAGTAATTAAGGATATGGGGAAAATCGACAGAAAAGACAGGCCAGATTTCCTCCAGCTCATAAATTACTCCCTCTGGGAAGCCATCTATCTGTTGGGTGCCACCAGTGTGCCATTTAGTAAATTACCCTGATTGCCTCGGTGCCTCAAAGGGCCCCCAGGTGAGGGAGAGACTCAGCCCGAGACCCAGCACCAGGCCACTCTGGGAGCTTCTGACTCCACAAGTAGAGCAGATTTCACACCAGGGAGTGGCTTATGGCCTCTCTTCTGATATCATGCAGTGAGATGGTTTGTTTTTACGACTCTGGCTGTGGCCATCCAAGCTGAAGCAATCAGTTGATTTGGTTAATTCAGTCAAACACCCAGGTGGAAAACAGTCAGAGAAGCAAATATCCCGTCGAGGCCCCCGGTTCTTGGAACGCCCTGCATTCTAGCAGGCTCACAGGTTCCATTTGAGAACAAGCAGCTTCTGACCTGTCCTCTCCTCCAGGTGCCCACAACCATGGAGATGTTTTGCTGCTATGGTCCTGTGGTGCCCAACGGGTACGGTGCCTGCTACAACCCCCAGCCAGACAGCATCCTTTTCTGCATCTCCAGCTTTCACGGCTGCAAAGAGACCTCTTCTACCAAGTTTGCGAAAGCTGTGGAAGAAAGCCTCATTGAAATGAGAGACCTCTGCAGTCGGCCACAGTCTGCCATGGGCAAGCCACTGGTGACAAAAGAAAAGGCAACAAGGCCCAGCCAGGGGCACCAACCTTGACTGCTGCCACTAACCCCAAACCCAGCATTCTGCAGCTGCCAGACCCTGCCGAACCCTTGCTCCCAACACTCATCCCAGCTTTCTGTAGTTCCCTGTCCTCAGGGCCCAGCACACAGACCACACTGAGGCATCCCACAAAGCTGGAGCGTTAGGAGGAATGCGTCCCTCATTATTCGTGGGAATCATCATTATTATCAAGGTGCCCTCTGGCCTGTGCACTAGGAAATAGGACCAGCCTGGCTTGGAGGCACCTGGGTGAGGTGGGGAAGTCCACGCTGACTTCCCTCCGTGGCCTCGGAAGCTTAACATTGGTGTTTGCTTACAGCAGGACCTAGCATGTCCCGGTGACGTTTTTGCCCAATGAGAGAATGAGTCACCTTATTACAAGCAATGTACCTAAATGAATCATGAAGCAAGAGGCTAACTCCAGGTCATTACCTCTTTTCTCTTGGGGAGGAGTAGGGGGCTTTGTTTTCAGACTGAAAGCAGCCCGATCATGGCATTCGGGGTAGCCTGCACTGAGCCATACAGACCCATAAGCACCCGCTCCCCTACACACACACAGCCCATGTTAATTTAAAATAGAGCGACCTGGGTCCACAAATGCATTTCTCCTTTCACCTCCCAGGGGCAGCCTTCCACTGAGTTCAGAAAATCTGATCCGGCTATTCTGAAAGAGAAAGAAAATCATCTGCCACTGCCCTGGAGTCCAGGCTGCTCTCTGCTTCCCCGGGGGCATCAGGGACAATCCAGGATGAGTAAACAGCACAGCCCCAGCAAGCAGAAGAGACAGAGGGAGGACCAGTCCACTTCCCCAGGGACCCTGCCACTTGCAATTTTTCTGGTTGCTTTCCCACTCCCCTTCAGGTGAAATGTGCTCCGATAGGTGATCTGCCTTTTAAAGAAGAAGAGAGAGGGTTGCTTCAGGCTTTTCTGTTGTTATTTATTTGTTTTGTTTTGTTCATTCTTAAGAAAGGCTTTTAAGAAACCACTGTGACACTAATTTCAGAAAATGATCTCAGTCGCTCAGGCAGGATGCCCTTGGACAGGTGGGCTCCTTTACATGGAGGACGTTATCCGGAGATGCTGACTAAAGTCCACGTGGAAGAGCCTAGAGCAGGGCTCTCCACTGGCCTCACGGCGCGGGACAGCTGGCGGAGCACAGGGCTGGGAGAAGGGAATGGCCACATCCAGAGCCCTCCCTGCTGGAGGGGCAGACAGTTCACAGAGCCGGAGTTCAGACTGTCCTGAGAGACTGCGATCTTTGAGGAGATGTGAGAGGCACTTCCCCATTGGGGAATACGTTTACGGGAAATCTAAAAGCGCAAGGGAGTGGGAAGGCAACCAGAAAACTCCAAGTACAAATAGCTGAGGCAGCCTGCCTCTGCCCAGAGGAGGCACAGAGCTCAGCTCTCATCACCGGAGACCCGAGTTTCGCTGTGCTTCCTGAAACAGCATCACCCCCAACCCCAACCCTACCCCACACCCCACCCATCCTGCCATGCTCTGTGTCATTCTGAGCACTCCACTCTGGCCCAGGGACACTGCACATGTCCCTTCTTTGGGCCATTGTGCAAACTCTCTGCACTTTGACCTGTATTGAAGCAGGCAGCGCTGAGATGGGCCAGGCATTTTGACCTTTGCTCAGCTCTTTGAAAACATAAACAGCCCCAAGCAGTGAATTCCTTGAACCCTGGTTTTAGATTGAGGATTTCTAGTGAATGATCTGGGAGATTCTGGCACTGCCCTTCAAAGTCATTGGTCTGTAGGTCCACACTCCTTCCCTCGGACATCCATCTTCCTGCTCCCCTTGAGAAGCTGCAGGCCAAGAGTCCCAGGAATGTCTGGGGAACTGCTGTCCACCTGCTGTAAGTTGACCCAAAGCCACTTGTCCGTTCTCCCAAATGACCACAGTGCATATTTGAGTGGTCTTCTGCTTTCCCTCCGTGGATTCCTGGGCAGGCAGAGAGCTCTGGCTTTGGGGTCAGGCAGCCCTGTGGACCTTGGCCAAGAGACTTATTGCCCAGAGACTTAATTCCTTCCATCGTCAAATGGGAACAAGAATGTCCCAACCTTTCGAGGCTGTGAGGATTGTAGATCACATGTGTAAAGGGTCTTACACAAGCAAGTGGGCATTGGTGCCCACTGTCAGGATGCCATTACCCCAGCAAGCATTGTTTAGGTAATTTTTTTTTTTTTGAGGAAGATTGGCCCTGAGCTAAGATCTGTTGCCAATCTTCCTCCTTTTTTCCTTTTTCCTCCCCAAAGTCCCAGTAGGTAGTTGTATGTCATAGTTGTACATCCTTCTAGTTGCTCTATGTGGGACACCGCCTCAGCATGGCTGGAAGACAAGCGGTGCATAGGTCTGCACCCAGGATCTGAACCAGTGAACCCCGGGCTGCCGAAGCAGAGCGCGCAAACTTAACCGCTACGCCACCGGGCCGGCCACTGTTTAGGTGATTTTTGTTTCAAACATTTTACATTGATTTGACAGCACCAAAGTCACATCTGCCATTCTCTGAGCATGGGGAAAGGATACCAACTCTGTATATTCAGATGTCAACTATGCACTGTGAGGGCTTTGAGAAGTGTGGATGGCGGGCGTTAGGCGGGAGGGAACACCTCCTCTCTCTGAGGAAGGGGCTGGAAGCTGGTCTTCCCCCTCCAAAAACAGGTGGGCGCACTGAGTCTTTATGCAAAGGCAACGCTGAGCCATGGCCATAGGCATCTCTGTGGGGATCCTAGTAAAGGAGACTGTTCTAAGTGTCCCCAGAGAGATGAAAAATGAAACTTGGAGACAGTCATTTTGGGACAGTGATGCGTAATAAAAATGTACGTGGCCACCTTACAATACTGCTAAGTTGCCAAAATATATAAAGTTGATATTTTAGTTCTATTTTTATAAAATTGTTCTAGATTTATGGCAATATATACATATGTATTTATAGCCTTTCAATTTTAAGTTATAGTTTTGTGCTTTAAAGAAATATATGTATGATCAAAGAACTGTATATTGAAAGCACTATATTCAAATTATTTCAAGACTGTAAGTCTGTATTCAATAAAAAGTCATGCCAAGAAAGATGGTGTTGGCCATTGTTTCTACCCAGAAATGCTATAAAAATTATGTTGTAAATTCTATGAGCTGGGTCAACAATTCATCTGCTTTGTTTGAGGTCTGTCAGCAGCAGTGGCAAATGTCTAAAAGATACAGGGGCCTGGAGAGAAAAGGAGGAAGGAACTTCATCTCTCCTAGTGTGTGGCATGCCACCAGGGGGTGGGGTGAGGGGCAGAGAGCCTTCACGGGGTGTTTGTGATCAGGTCGGTGGAAACCTGGGTGTAGAGATGGGCATCTCCACTTAAGCCTGAATAAGCATGCATAGGCAGAATGGAGTGGAGGGAAAAGATCCAGGCTCAGAGGTGGGTGCCTAGACTATAAACCCAGCTCTATCTCTAACTTGCTGTGGACTTTGGGAATGTCACTTCACCTCCCTAGCTCTCAGTTTCCTCATCTGTAAAATGGGGATGTTGATATCAGCACTACCCACTTCCAGGGTTGTGGCAAGATGACATAAGATGGTCACTGTTTAAAAACTCAGGAAGTGATGTAAAAACCTAGCATTCTTATTGTAGGCTCACAGGTACATGTGCACACAGCTTCCTTCACTCTGCACAGCACAAAGATATATTCCAAGCTGCAAGACCCCCTCTGCAGCTGCAATAATCCACAGAACCAAGACTGAGATTCCTCCAAATGGAAGCCCAAATGATTTCCAATCAGAACTTAAAAGGAAGCTTCAAGTGTATGGATTGGTATGACTGGGATGCAGAAAAGGCATTATCCAAAAAGATAATGGCTAAGAATATTCCAGGAGGAATGGAGAGGATAGGAAGGAACAGGATCAAAGTAATGTAAGTTTGCTCTTATTTATCACGTATATCACACGTGGCCCCAAAATAACCAGATGTAGACAATAGAGAAGAATATGAACAGGCAAGCCAACTCCCAACATACAAAATAATGCCACCTGCTCCTTGTTGTCTCTGAAGGTCCTGTGGGGTGGATATTGGTACATTCAGGTAAAAATGCAGGGACGAGTCTCTCCCAGGTTCACAAGAGCAACCAGAATTTTCCAAATTACTCCTAAGCAGTTCTCCTTGGGAGCGAGGGGAGAACCAGTGCCTTGGGTTCCCTTTAAAATTCAGTCAATCTCCCTGCTTTTATTTTTCTGAGTTTTCCTTCCAAAGAGGCCTCTTGAGTCCGCAGGGTGAACGATATGCCATCCCTGGGAAAAGCTGGCCTCACGTCACGTAAGAAGACCTTTCTAAAAGCTCTGTTCTCCCTTGTTTCCTAAGGACCAGCTCTCTCCTTGTTCTTTTCCTACTGGGTCCTCCATCTCCTTGTGGGATTTCACTCCCTATTTCTGTCCCTTATATGTCATTGGACCCCAGGGCTCTGTCCTTGGTCTCTATTTCTTATATTCAGGAGCAGCAAAATGGCAGGCTGAGCTGATGCACCCATAAAAACATACACACAAAGAGAAAATTCTTTTAAATATATAGTCAAGTTCAAAAGAAAGGAAATAAATCCTCACATTCCAGAAAAAAAAAAAAAGATGTCCAAAACAGAGTAGCGAGTGGCAGCTAAAGATGTATCAGATCAGACACAGATTTCAGTTGACAGCGGGGTTTACCACTCCTGCAAGTTGAGAGGACGTCACCTCTGCCATGCAAGGTGGGAGATGCAGCTAAAAACTCCTCACACAAAATCAAATCGGAACCTCACAGAGGCATCCCAACCCTGTAAAAAAGACTAGGGAAACTCTTCTTATCAGCCCAGGGGAGCATCGAGGAACTGTGCCATTCACTCATGGCTGTAGAGAGTGGAAAAAAGACATCCATGAGAAATTAAACTATGAACTTGTGCCATATGTGGATATAGAGTCTGAATTTATACAACTTATCTGTAAAGCATGAATTCCAAGACAATAATGTTAAAAAAAAAAAAATTGCCTGGGTCAGTAAAATCCAAAGGGCCTCAAGCAGAATCAAATACAAAACCACTTTCCACAACCCTGGACGCACCAAACTCCCACAGAGGAAAAACGCTCCATGAAAGATGAGCTCACAGTCAAAAAATACAAAGAGCACAAGAAATGGCTCACAGGAGGGAAAGCAGCAAATAAACAGGAGAATTAACATCACAAAGGCTGGAGAGAATAGATGACTCACAGAGAAGCTATAAAACAGATATGTTTAACATTATCAAGAAATAAAAATTCAGGGAAGATACATGAAGAGTTCGGGAAGGAGAGATTAGAGAATGGGGGATGGAGGGAAGCACTATTCAAAGAGAAAATGGCTAAGAATATTCCAGAATTGAAGAAACATATCATTCTAAAACTCACAGGTTAAAGAAGAGACAATAATGGAAATTTAAAAGTACTTAGAGCAGGGGCTGACCCCGTGGCTTAGCAGTTAAGTGCACACGCTCCGCTACTGGCGGCCCAGGTTCAGACCCCAGGCGCGCACTGACGCACCGATTCTCTGGCCATGCTGAGGCCGCGTCCCACATACAGCAACTAGAAGAATGTGCAACTATGACATACAACTATCTACTGGGGCTTTGGGGAGAAAAAGGAGGAGGATTGGCAATAGATGTTAGCTCAGAGCCGGTCTTCCTCAGCAAAAAGAGGACTGGCGTGGATGTTAGCTCAGGGCTGATCTTCCTCACACACAAAAAAAAATACTTAGAGCAGAATAATAAAGATACCTCATATCAAAACCTCTGCAATACAGCAAAAGTGATGCTTTGGAGAAATTTATAGCTTAAAATACTTATCAGAAAAGAAGAAAGACTGAAAATTGATGAGCTGACTCATCAATCTAACTTAAAAAGTAAGAAAAAGAACCCAAGAGTAAACTCAAAGAAAGTAATAAAGATAAAAATAGCTATCAATGAAGGAGAAAACAAAAAACAATAAAGAAGCCAAACAAAGCAAAAGTTGGTTCTTTGAAAAGATTAACAAAAGAGACAAGTCTCTGGTAAAACCAATAAAATAAAAACAGAAAGTCAGAAATAAATAATATTATGAATAAAAAATTGACAAAGGGGCCTGCCCAGTGGTGTAGTGGTTAGGTTCGCACTCTCTGCTTCAGCGGCCCAGGGTTCACAGTTTCGGATCCCAGGCATATGCCTACACACTGCTTATCGAGCCACGCTGTGGCAGGAGTCCCATATAAAGTAGAGGAAGATGGGCACGGATGTTAGCCCAGGGCCAGTCTTCTTCAGCAAAAAGAGGAGGATTGGCATCAGATGTTAGCTCAGGGCTGATCTTCCTCACTAAAAAAAAAAAGTCGACGTAACTACAATAAAGTGGACATTAAAAAGATAACAAGAGAATACATCAACTACTTTATGCCAATAAATTTGAAAACTTACATAAAAATATAATTTACTAAAACTGATGCAAGAAGAAATATAATTTCTGGATAGTCTTCTAAATCTTAAATAAACTGAAGCAGTAGTTTGAAATTTTCCGAATCAGGAAAAAAAGGGGAGGGAGGAACATAAAATTTTATAGACATGTTTTACCAAACATTCAAAGAAGTGATCACTTCAATAGTATACAAAATAAAAAAGGTGATAGTCCCTATTCTTCTATACTCCCTTATTTATTCTCTGAAGCTTGTATAACTTTAATATCCAAAGCAGACTAGGACATACAATAGAGAAAAACTGCAGGCCCATTTCATTCATGCATATATATCCAGAAATCCTAAACAAAATATTAGCAGACAAATTCTAACAGTATATAAAAAAGATAATACATTTATGACCAAGTCAGGTTTATCCAAGAATGCAAAGTAGTTTAATATTAGAAGGTATCTAAATGTCATTTACTCATCTATGGCTTAAAGAATAAAAATAACAGGATCATTCTAATAGATCATTAAAATGAATTCATAAAAATTCAAGTCATTCATAATTTTTTTAAAAACATAGTAAAATGGAATTAGAAAAGAAGTTAGCTTGACAAAGAACATCTACAAAAAAAAATACAATATATATCAACCTAAATAGAGAAATGTTGGAAATGTTCTCTTCTCTTTAAAATCAAAATAAAGATGGGGCCAGCCCGGTGGCGCAAGCGGTTAAGTGCGCACGCTCCGCTGCGGCGGCCCAGGGTTCACCGGTTCAGATCCTGGGCGCTCACTGACAGACCACTTGGCAAGCCATGCTGTGGCGGTGTCCCATATAAAGTAGGGGAAGATGGGCACGGATGTTAGCCCAGGGCCAATCTTCCTCAGCAAAAAAAAGAGGAGGATTGGCAGATGTTAGCGCAGAGCTGATCTTCCTCACAAAAGAAAAAAATAAAATAAAATAAAATCAAGCTAAAGAGAGGATATGCACTATTACCACTTCTATTCATCATGGCATTAGAGGTTCTAGCCTGTGCAATGAGACAAGAAGAAAAAAAGAAAGGCTTAATAAAGGAAATAAAACTGTCATTGTTTGCAGACGATGTGAGTGTCTGCATAGAAAACCCAAAGAATCTACAAATAAATTAATAGAAATAATTTAAACAAAGGTCAAGGTAGCTTATACAAAATCAATATATAAAGGCCAGTTTCATTGTATACACCAGCAACGAACAATAAAATCACAATACAATATACATGATTTACAAAAGACAGTAGCAATAAATCTAAAAAAAGACTTAAGACTCATACACAGATAATTATAAACTGTATTGAAAGACAATGAAGAAGATCTAAATAAAGGAGAGCTATTTCAAGATCATGAATAGGAAGTCCTCAGAAAAATGTCAGTTTTCCCCAATTGATCTCTAGATTCAATGCAACTCCAGCAAAACTCTCAACAGGGAAACTTCTGCTTCTGATAATGACAGACTAGTTAATTCAGACTTCCTACAGAGGACATCTTTAAAAATCTGGCACATATTTTTTTTAAATCTTCTTGAAAATCATGAAAGAGCTAACTAGATCAAAACCAGGGACAGGATGAGAGTAGGTATAGCACTGGAGATGATTTTAGTCTAGGGCTATCTAGAGATCTTGAATATGCAAGCTAGAAGATGAGATACAATTTTTGAGCCTTTGCAGAGTTAGGCATATAAAAATTGTAGTCCAGCACCACCAAGGGGGAACCCTGCTAAGCCCATCCTCATTGGGCTAGAATCCTAAAGGAGTGTACCACAGGAAGGAGGATAAAATATAAATAAACCAGTCTCCACATGGACTGCAGCCAGTTTCAAGCCATCTGGATGGCTCAGAAAATCTCAAGCCCTGAAATTGTATTAAGATGATCCCAGGTTGCTGGTGCTACCAGGACCTGGCAAGAAATGAAAACGAAAAAAAAAAAAAATCAGCCATAGAAGAAGATAACATCATCCTTGGCCTCAAATTGTTCCTACAAATAATTCTGCTAATACAGTGTCTAGTACACAATTAAAGTAAACCAAGCACTCTAGGAGACAAGACAAAATGAGCAGAAACTGGCAGAAATAACAACAGAAACAGACAGATAGGGTCTCCAGACAGTGGAATTTTCAAACATACACTATAAAATAAGTATCTTTACTGTGGTCAAGAAGATAAAGCCAAACCTAAAAAACTTGGCAAGAAACTGAAAACTATAAAAATATAGTGGCACAGCAGATTTGAAAAGGCACCAAACTAAAATTCTAGAATTGAAAAATAAATAACTGAAATGACCAACCAGATTGATGGCTTTAATAGCAGTTAAGACATGGCTGCAGAGAAATCAGTAAATTAGATTACAGGTAAAAATGAATGAATGAATGCACACATACATACATACAACCCCAAAAGAAGCATGGAAGAAAGAAAAAAGAGAAAAACACAGAAGAGAAGAGACATAAAGAATACAGTGAGAAGGTCTAACATCCATTTAACTAGAGTCCCTGAAAAGTAAGAAAATGGGACCGAAGCAATATGTGAAGAGATAATGGCTCAAATTTCTCCAAAAACAGATGAAGGACTTCAATTCACACTTTAAAGAATCTCAACAAATTCCAGGCAAGATAAACAAAAAGAAATCTATACATAGACACTTTACAAGAGTTTCCAATCCATGCTACACCCCTGACTTGCCTGGGGAGGCTACATGTGCCCTCTCAGCCTCAGTTTTGTAAGTGCAAAATACAACCTACTTCATAGGGATGGTAAGATGATTAAATGACATAACACATGGAAAGTGCTCAGCATGTGGCCTGACACATACTTTCTGTAACTGGCTGTAAATGTTGGTTACTGTTATCATTAACATTTGCCATACCAGGTTGAAATCCCGTGTTTACCTGGCTGTGAGGGTCGTGAAAGCAAGTTGCCTCCCACCACCAGCCCACCAACACACCTTTCTGCAGCCCAGCGGTGGCCAAGCGATCAGGGCGCCGGGATCCTCAAGCTCCGCCCCGACCCGCCCTGGCCCCGCCCACTCGTGCGTGGCCCCGCCCATACGCAAAGGCCTGAAGAGCAGTTGCCTAGCACTGTGCGTGCTGCGCTGTAGCCCCGGCAGGCGGCCGGGCCATGCCCAAGGCTGCCTTGGTCATCGTGCGCTATGGGCCGTACAGTGCTGTTGGCTTGTCCGTGGAGCACCGCACCTTCCGCCTGGAGGGCCTGCTAGGTGAGCAGCCGAGCCCAGGAGGGCCACCCAGCTGCGTGCCCCCAGGCACCTCAGCCTCTGGGTATCCGTGTAGACTGTGCCCTCTGCCTAGACCTCCTTGCTTCCTCAGACCCAGACCAAGTGCCACCTCCTCTGGAAAGTCTTCCCTGAGCCCCCACCACCCTAGGATGATTTAGCTGCTTCTGGCTTCCACTGCTTCAGTATAAGAGTGGGAACAAACATGCGCTGTGAGCCCAATGGGTGCCAGGCAGTTTACACAAATTACTTTGATAGAAAGTATTACATACCCTGCTTTACACATTGGGAAACTGAGGATCAGGAATATTAAGTGACTTTTCCAAGGTTATATGGCTGGCAAATGGCAGAGAGTCTATCCCTTGATCATTTATTCATACAACAAATCTTTATTGAGCACCTAATATGTGTTGGACACTCTTCTAGGTACTGGGGCCACACTGGTGAACAAAGATATATGTCCTTGAAGTGACCTTCTCATTGCTGACTACAGTTGACAGTTGTGCCAAGCCTCGGACAGAAGAACATAATCAGAGTGGGACCTGCCACAGGTCATAACTGGAGGAGAAAGGGGAGAGATCTGGACAGGTTTATTTGCTGGAATTGCATTTGAGTTGAGCTTGAAAGAGTAAGGAGAAACTAACAGGGTAAAGAGAAGAAAGAGCATTCCAGGCAGAGGGACTAACATCTGCAAAGGCTAGAAGCATGAACAAATGATGTATTTGTTGAACTGATGGAGGGTGAGGCTGGAGAGGTAGACAGGGCCAGATCCTGCAGGGCCATATGCAAGGTTTAGGTAGGGGGATGAAACTGTGGCTGCTCTGAGGAGAACAGATTAGAGAGGGCCAAGAATGGAAGCAAGAGACAAGTCAAGGGGCCATTGGGGTGGTCCAGGGGAGAGAGAACAGTAGCTCAGACCAGGACAGCTGTCAAGGGGTGGTGGTACCTTAAGCAAAGGCGATGGTACTCCCTGAGAGGATGGGGATGGGAGGCGAGGGTCGAGAGGATGCCCTCCGGATCCAGTCAGTGTCTGGCTTGAGCAAAGTGCTCATGGATGGAAATGCTCTGCACTAAAACTGAGAACACCAAAGATGGACCACAATTTGGAGGAACGTGCTCATTTTGGACATATTAAACTTCACGTGTTTTCAGCCACATAGATGGAGGTAGGGAGTCGGCTCTGCAGTTCTGGAGGTCAGAGAAAAAGTCTAAGCTGGAGATACAAAGGTATGAGTCATTGACTTGGGGAGAACATATAGAATGAGAAGAGAGCCCAGGACTGAGTCTTCATAAACGCCATTATATGACCCAAACTCAGGATCTTCCAGGCAAAATGCTGTGGGAGTCCAGAGGACACAAAATCAACAATCAGGGAAGGCCTCCTGGAGGAGGTGGCATTTGAATTCCAGTTTGGAGAATGGGTAGAATTTCAATCAGCAGAGAATGTTGGTTTCTCTGAGAGAACAGTTGATTGAGAAATTTCTGTTGTAAATAGCTCAGTGTTATTTGGTGATGCTTAAAATGTTCTGTGGTCTTGGCTAGGGACACTGCCTGAATAACTGACCCTTTGCTTCTTCCCCCTCTGATGAGCCCCACCCACTGACCCCTCACCTCACAAGCCACCTCTAGTTTATGTTCACTGAATGATGAGGCTCAGCAGCTACAGCATTTCTTTGAAAATAAGGTGGATCTTAGACTGCTGGGAAGGAATCTTCATTCAGGAGTTCTCGGAGCCTTTTCACTTCCTCTGTCTTTAGGCTTTTGACTTTTGCAGACATTTTTTCTTTGCTCCAGCCCTAGAGGCTACGAGCTTCTCCTGTCCAACCCAATCCCACATTTTCTGTCTTAGTTCAACTATTTCTTTTTTTTTTTTGTATCTCTTTTTTATTGTGGGAAAATATATGTAACATAAAATTTGCCTTTTTCACCATTTTTAAGTGTACAATTCAGTGACGTGAATTACATTCAAAATGTTGTGCAGCCATCACCACTTCCTATTTCCAAAATGTTTCAATATTCCAAACAGAAACTCTGTACCCAGTAAGCAGTAACTCCCTATCACTCCCTCCCCCCAGCTCCTGCTAACTGCTAACCTACTGTCTCTATTACTTTGCCCATTCTAGATATTTTATGTAGGTAAAATCATACAATATTTGTCCTTTTGTATCTGGCTTATTCCACTTAGCATAATATTTTATTTTCGAGGTTCAGCTGTGTTGTAGCGTGTATTAGTACTTCATTCTTTTTTGTGGTCAAATAATACTCTGTTTGTGTGTCCATACCACATTTTGTTTATCCATTCATCTGTTGATGGGCACTTCAGTTGTTTCCACTGTCTGGTTATTGTGAATAATGCTGCTATGAACATTGGTGTTCATCTGAGTCCCTGTTTTCAATTTGGGGGGGATATATATCTAGGAGTGGAATTGCTGGGTCATATGGTAATTCTATGTTTAACTTTTTGAAGAACTCGCAAACTGCTTTCCACAGTAGCTGCACCATTTTACGTTCCCACCAGCAATGTACGAGGGTTCCAGTTTCTCCACATCCTTGCCAACACTTGTTCTTTTCTTTTTTGTTTTTTTAATTGTAGCCATCTTAGTAAGTGTGAAACAGAATCGCATTGTGGTTTTTATTTGCACTTCTCTGGTGACTAATGATGTTGAGCATCTTTTCCTGTGCTTATTGGCCATTGGTGTGTCTTCTTTGGAGAAATGTCTATTGAAATCCTTTGCGAATTATTTAATTGGACTGTTATTTTTGTTGTGGGCTTGGAAAAGTTCATTATATATTCGGGATGCTAGACCTTTATAAGATATATGATTTGCAAATATTTTCTCTTTGTAGATTGTCTTTTCACTTTCTTAATAGTGTCCTTTGATACACAAAAGTTTTTAATTTTAAATAAGTTCAATTTTTCTCTTTTTCTTTTTGTTGCCTGTGCTTTTGGTATTTAAGAAATCATTGCCAAGTCTAAGGTCATGCAAATTTGCCCCTATGTTCTCTTCTAAGAGTTTTATAGTTTCTAAATTTAGATCTTTGATCCATTTGGAGTCTTTTATATATGGTGTAAGATAAGGGTCCAACTTCATTCAAAAGATACTCATGTGGATATCCAGTTTTCCCAGTACTTTTTGTTAAAAACTGTTCTTTGCCCATTGAATGGTCCTGGCACTCTGTCAAAAATCAGTTGCCCATAGATGTGATGGTTTATTTCTGGCTCTCAGTTCTATTCATTTGGTCTATATGTTTATCCTTAAGACAGTACCACACTGTTTTGATTACTATAGCTTTGAGTAAGTTTTGAAATCAGGAAGTGTGAGTTCTTCAACGTTATTCTTTCTCAAGACTATTCGGGCTATTCTGGGTCCTTTGAAATTCCCTATGAATTTTAGGATGAGTTTTTCCATTTCTGCAAAAAAAAACACCATTGGGATTTTGATAGAGATTGCATTGAATCTGTATAATGCTTTGGGAAGTATTGTCATCTTAACAATATTAAGTCTTTCAATCCAGGCACACGGGGTGTCTTTCCATTTATTTAGGTCTTCTTTAATTTCTTTTAGTAATTTTTGTAGTTTTCAGTGAACAAGACTTGCACCTCCTTGATTAAATCTATTCCTAAGTGTTTTGTTCTTTTAGATGCTATTGTAGTTGGAATTGTTTTCTTAATTTCCTTTTCAGATTGTTTATTGCTAGTGTATAGAAGTACAACTGATTTTTGTGTGTTGATTTTGTGTCCTTCAACTTTGCTAACTTTGTTTATTAGCTCAAACAGTGTTTTTGTGGATTCTAGGGTTTTCTAGATATAACATCATGCCATCTGCAAATCGAGTTAGTTTTACTTTTTTCTTTCCAATTTGGATGCCTTTTATTTCTTTTTCTTGCCTAATTTCTCTGACTAGAACTTCCAATACTGTGTTGAATAGAAGTGGCAAAAGCAGGCATCCTTGTCTTGTACCTGATTTTAGGGGAAAAGCTTTCAGCCTTTCTCCATTGAGTATGATATTAGCTGTGGATGTTTCTCATATGGCCTTTGTCAAGTTGAGAAAGTTTCCTTCTATTCTTAGTTTGATTAGAGTTTTATCGTGAGAGAATGTTGGATTTTGTCAAATTTTTTCTAAATCAATTGAGATGATTATGTGTTTTTGTTTCCTTCATTCTATTAATGAGGTATATTACATTTATTGATTTTTATATGTTGGGCCACCATGTATTCCTGGGATAAATCCCACTTGGTTATGGAGTATAATTCTTTTACTATGCTAGCTACGGAATTCAGTTTGCTAGTTTTTTGTTGAGGATTTTGCGTCAATATTCATAAGGAATATTGGTCAGTAGTTTTCTTTTCTTATGGTGTCTTTGTCTAGCTTTGGTATCAGAATAATGCTGGCCTCATAGAATGAATTTGCAAGTATTCCCTTCTCTTCAATTTTTGGAAGAGTTTAAGAAGGATTAGTGTTAATTCTTCTTTAAATATTTGTTAGAATTCACCAGTAAGGCCATCTGGTCCTGGGCTTTTCTTTATTGGGAGGTTTTTGAGTATTGATTCACTCTCCTTATTAGTTCATAGGTCTGTTCAGATTTTCTGTTTCTTCTTGAGTCTGTTTTGGTAGTCTGTGTGTTTCTAGGAATTTGTCCATTTCATCTAGGTTTTCCAATTTGTTGGTGTATAGTTAATAGTATTCTTTTATAATCCTTTTTATTTCTGTAAAATCAGTTGTAATGTCCCCTCTTTCAATGATTATTTTAGTTATTTGAGTCTTCTCCCTTTTGACTTAGTATAGATAAAAGCTTGTCAATTTTGTCGATCTGTTCAAAGAACCAGCTTTGGGTTTCGTCGATTTTCTCTATTGTTTTTCTATTTTCTGTTTTGTTTATCTCCACTCTAATCTTTATTATTTAGTTCCTTCTGCTAGCTTTGGGTTTGGTTTGCTCTTAGTTTTCTAGTTCCTTAAGCTGTACAGTTATATCATTGACTTGAG